TATATATATATATATATATATATATATATATATATATTCCTAATTCCCAGCTAGCCATAATTTTTTTAAATATCTATCTTTTTAATGTCCAAGCATCCAACCATTATATTTTTTTTTGGTAATGTCTAGCCAAATTTTTTTAAAATAAAACCTATTTCAAATAACATCTAGCCAAAATTGTGTGAGCTTTGTAGGCTGGGCTCACTTTTAATTTATTTATTTTTTTGTTAGTGGGTTGTGGCCCTATGGTTTTTTTTTTCTTTTACATGAGTGGATTGGTGAGCCAACCTGGCTCACCACAAGTTTAACTTGGGTGAGCCAATTTCTTAGTGGGTTAGGTTGAGTTTTCAACAGTACTGAAATTTGTAATTTTTTTTAATCCAACCTGACTCGAACCTGTGGTGAGTTGGGTTAGCTCATCGGTTGTGGCCCATTCTGATAGCTCTAGCATATAGGATTGTTTCTTGTTGTATTGCATGAATTGTATGTTGTTTGGATACATAAAATTATAGTCGAGTTTGAATTGAGTAGTGAATACATGATATGTAGTTTCTTGGGTTTTTGGTAAAATGAGAAGGAATCAGTGATCCTTCCCTTGAATGGTTCCATGTTGATTCTGATGCTAAATTTGAGTTGTTTGAAGTGTATACTTGTGTTGTTATGCATTGCATATTAGTTTTAGATTGATTTTCTGGTGGATTGAATCAAAATACAACTTTGCCAATTGTGAAATTCGCCACCGTGTCGGACACAACTTTATAGCGTTGAGCATGATGTAGGTTAAAGGCTCTTTAACTTACCAACTTTAGGTACATGATTAGTAGCGTTGGGCGTGAGATAGAAGGAAACTCTCTAACTTAATAATGTCGGACCCTAGTTGAGTGACACCAAGCCTAATCAAGCCAATAGCTCTTTGCTTGGATAACATGGGTGTAGGTTGTGTGATGCCAAGCATGGATCATGTAGAGGCTCTTTACCTGGATGAGGTCGAGCATAGGTTCAACCATGCCAGGCGTGATGGGCACATGGGCTCTTTGCCTAATCCACGCTGAATGCAAGTAGAATGGCACCAGGCGTGGGCAAGCTAAAGGCTTCCTACCTTACAAACATCAGGTGTAAACTAAATGGCATCGAGCATGGTCTTGATGAATGAAACCTCAACTTAGTTGATTTTAAATGTTGAATCTTGATGATATATGTTCCATATGTTGTACACACATACATTCAATCCCTTTTGTGTGTTTATTTTAACTTCACAATCCTAAATAAATTATAACAAACATAACAACATAGAATTCATGACATAAGAATTCACCAACAATCACAAGACAATCACCTAATGCAACATGCACTCACTCAACTTGATTCTAAATGCATGTGGCATAAGTCAAAAACATGCATTGCCCAAAATGTGGGTTAGTGTGGTCCGAGCAAAATATGGAGGTGGTATGGGTTTGATGCCTATAATAAATAATAATAATAGATGTTTTAATCTTTGGACTAAAATTAAAGCTATTTTGAATGTTTTCAAGGAGAACTGTGTTTGGAATATTCATTGACCAAATTTTTTATTTGATGATTGGTTGCCTATGGTGGGAATTTTAGGATTACTGGAACTTTAAGATTTAATTGAAGGGGATGTTAGTAAGAATGTGGGGGATGTTTTTAAAAGTGTTGAGGGATGGGACATGATTTATCTTCAAAATATGCTACCTTTGGAGGTTTTAGCCAAGTAGTATCTTATGTTCCTACAAATGATATGGTGGGTAAGGGTTTTGTGAAATGAAAGACAATGATTGGTGATAATTTTAATCTTAAAAGTGTGTGCACTTTGATCACCAAAGTGGGTGATGTTCCAAGTATTCCTTTGTATTGTGTGATTTGGAAGGGGGAAGGTGTAGAGGGATCTAGAGCTCATATTTGGAAATTTGTTAGAGGATGATGGTTGGGCACAAATGTAGCTTGTTAGGAGAGAGATAACTAATTAGTTCATGCCCATTGTGAGAACTAGAGAGAGAAAATGTGGTTTGTTGTACGAGAGACTCTTTTTATGTCAAATGCTTATGGAATTGTTATGTTCTTGTTTCTACTAACCCTTTCTTTCTTTCTTTCTTTTTTAGGTGATTTGCACTCATGGTTGATCAAAAACTTGAAGGGTGGAAGGGGTCTTCCTTCATATTAGCCTTAAACATTTAGATTTGTTTTGGATCTACTTTGGCTGAAGATGAATCACCATGTATTTCATTAATAATTATGGAATACATATCAATTGATGGCTTGGCTTGGCAAGATGATTGACACGTGGAATGCAACAACTATTCTATGAAAGGCATTGCCTAGTAAATTTACCCATGAGAATATTTGTTGGACATGGAGTCCTATAAGTGGTAATACTATCACCTCAATTATGTTGGTTCTTGGTCCCATACCTCTTATGTTGCTTCAAGTGGTGGAGTATTAGGGAATGCAGAAGGCCTTTTTCTTGGGTGATTTGTGTGCAATCTCGATTTTGCAAGTACAATTGTTGGCAATTCTTCTTAATGTTAAGATGATTAAAGAGCATGTATATTTTCAAGTGGAAATGCAATCTAATTATAGGGATGCTATAAACATCATCACAATTCAAGACACCAACTGTACATATATGAAAGTTTCCTTCATTCATATTTAGAGGCAGAATTATAATGCATCATATTGTTTAGTTAAACATGGTCTATCTAGAGATCAAAACATTGTTCTTTTTTATTTATTATTATTATTATTATTTTTTTTTTTTATAGTTCTCCGTCCGTCTTTGCTCAATATTCATTAAGGTATGAATTAGTAGCCTTAATTTCTTCTATGTAATTTCTTTCCTCTAGGCTGTTGCCCTTTTTATTCAGCAAAAAGAAAAAAAATTTAAAATAACATCTTTATATCATGTCTTTCTTAATCTACTCAAGTTTTAATTTTCTTCATAGTTGGTTCATGGTCTGAAAATATTATTTCTTACAAGTTATTTTTGTGGTAAAGGAGTTAACGTAAATAAGTCAAGGATCCATATTATTTGACCCTAATTTAATGTATTAATAATTAATTTTCATAATATAAAGTCGAATTATTAGCCTAATAGTTTTCTATTGGGCTTCAAGGACTTCTCTCTGTTGGTCATTGCATAATCAAACGGGCCTTCAGTCCAAAATAGGGAATAGCACCCGCTTTCGTTGAGCATCGAATTTGAACTCGACTCACACAGAAACCGTGACGCAAACCGCAATGGCTGCTAGGCACATTCTGCTTCACCGCCTTCGGTGGCGTAGCTTCCAAGGGTCCACCGCGGCGGCACCTCAGAGCCACCGTCTATGGTGCAGTGCCACGTCATCACCGGAAGAACCAAACTCGAACGCAAGTTGCGGGACCCACACCTGCAGCCAGGAATACCTCGAGTGGAAGGAGAAAGAAGAGAAGATCGTGAGGGACATTCAACCAATCGTTTCGCTAACCAGGAACATTCTCTACTCGCCAAGGTATTATGAGATTAAATTATTTGGATAGGTATCGTGAAACGACGACGTTTATCTCTTTGCCAGGTACATGAACGGGGAGCATTTGAGTATGGAGGACGAAAGAGCCGTGGTGGAGAACGTTCTCATTTACCATCCGCATTATGAAGATAAAATCGGAAGTGGCTTGAACTCCATTATGGTAAGTGAAGTGAATGCTATGCATGGTTAATTTCATTTGCAGCTTCACATTCTTTATTGTGATAGTGTTATGTGAAGTGAATAATATGCAATTATGCATCAATTCTTTGATATGTAGTATGTATGTATGTATCTATAAAATGTACGATGTCAGATTCCCAGTTGCTTTACCTTGCCGTGTTTGTATTAATTTGCAACTTCTGATTGCATTTGCCCTAAATTATGTAAACTATAGTAAACTGCTTGTAAAGGCAAAGCAATGGAATCACCGTTACAATTTTATAGTGTGAAAAAAGCATCCAACAGGTTTTAGGTCTTGTTTTTTGTAGTCTGCTCTCAAGTTATCAATCGGGGATAGTAGTCCTTTTTGTTATGGTGGATAACGGGATGACTGTTATATTGAAGAAAGTTATCCAAATAATTTGTAATTAAAAGTCATAATTTTGAGCTAAAAACACTAGTACCTAGTAACTAATAGCAAAAGTTAAAGAATCAAACAAGTTTAGCCTGTAAGGCTTAAGGTAACTAAACTTTCAAATTCAAATACAAGTTTTTCTTAAGCAGAGTGCTCATCACCAAGATCTTCCAAATCTTTTTATTTGAGTCACTTTGCTGCTACTAAATTTGAAAATTCCTCCTCCTCCTCTTCAATATCATCATCACCACCTTCTTCTTCATCTATATATACCTTTTCATTTCCCTTTCCTCTAGAGTTTGAAGGCTTAGGAGCTGTCCTCTACAATCATTTACTGCAAAGTGTATCTTAAAGGCTCACTTTAATAAAAAGAAAAAAAAAGGCTCACTGACCCTTATTACATTGGCAACAACACCAAGTCGAAGTATCATCATCAAAAACCAACTCAGCGGCAGCAGCTTATCGATTAGTCCATCGCCACCTATTTCTCCCACCACTAACTCATTTGTATCATCAATGTCATTTAGGAGAACCAGAACAATCATAATGTTTTTTAACTGCTTGGTTAACTTAATAGAAACCAAGTCTTGTAATTTCTTTTACTCAAGAATCAAGCCTCGTTCACTTCTTTCTACGTGTACATACTTACATACAGACATGTATTTGTGTGTTAATGTAATGTCTTCTAGCTTTCAATGAAGATGTATGCGGTAAGGTTATTTTCACTATAAAATTAGTCATTTCACATTCTATCAATGATAGCAAATATGTCCTTGTACTCTATTTTATTTCTGTTGAAAGCTTTTTGAATAGCTTCCTTGGCCCTACCCATTCCTTCATGTGTAACATTTTGCTGGCTTTTTTTAATTATCAATAAGCCTAAGAATGTACGCATGGGCTCCATAGCCTTAAGAAAGTAAGTAACATCATTCCAAAAGGTAGACACATACATAAGTACAGTGTTGGCTATCCTTTTCGGTTTTGCCATAGGATCATTAGCTATCTTAGACTTCAACCATTCATTTGAAGTGAACATCTTTCTAAATTTTCTCCAATGCAAATATGTCATGCCATGTCAAGGTTATCACTCGTAGTTTTACTAGTGCACAAAAGACTGAGGTGATAGAGCTTTGTGGAGTTGTTCCCTGTGGCTGAGTCTATGATATCATGACTGGGTAGTGACCAATGAGAAGTTAAGCGTTAGAACTCTGATCACGCACAAAAAAACAGAAATGAAATGATCAACAAAAGAGAGCAGAGACCTGTGCTGCAAACCACAAAATGAAAGGCAAGACTGCAACTCAATGGACATGTAGAACAGAGAACTCTGAGTGAAAATTGAAAATGGGGCCTATGAAGCTCGGATACTTAGTACGACACAGGTATGATACTACATAGATACATAGATACGACAATTTTTTTTAAATTTAGGATACGATATGTCCCGGATACATTACTAAAAAGATTATAGGAAAAATCATGTAGATGTGGAATATTTGTAAAGAAATAGACGTTTATCATTTCTCATTAATTCATAATTGTGATGCCACAATTCACAAAAAGGATATTTGTAATCATAACAATAAAATATATACAATACAATTTCTTCTCATACCATAACCAATTTTAGTTCACTACATCAGTAATAGCATCTTTGGTAGAACTTAAAACAAATATGAGCTCTATACAATAGCCTAGGACTCAAAAGCATGATTACTAGATTATCGTCTAATGTTATTTGTATCACTCTCCTCTGCCCCTTACCATCATTTAGAAGCATAGCTTCTAAGTCTGGTTTTTCTAGAGACAAGTATGTTAATTCAAGAAGTCTGGCACCATTAGCAAGTGGATGATGTACATCTTTGCTAATGTGCCACAACCTTGCTGCTCCTTTTTATACCCTTCATCATAGGCAAAAGTCAAAGGTTCAAATACATATAGATCAAATATTCTACCCATTTTGGATCTATTTTGTTTTTCTTCAAAGAATGAACAGAGGAATGTGTACTCTGATTCCTCTCAAGCATAAGAATATGGTTGCACAAGAAGCTTTTGGCAAGCTTTTTGGATACTTCTCATTTAAAAAAAATGAAAAAAGATTGGATATTTTTTGAATACGTATTCAAGAGTATCTGAGGAGTATCGGTATCTCACACAGGTACAGCACTGATACTTTTCCATTTTTTGAAGTACTTGGGCTTCATATACAACACAGTGGGCAGAGCAGAGAAATTGAGCAATGAGCTTAACCAGAAAATGCCTAGTTTGGCTGGAACTATTCTAGCGAGTAGTGAGTTGAAGGGCTTTTGTCCAAACAGAGGAGAGACCTGAAATGACCAGGCTAGCAGTGAAAAGTGAGGAATTTGAAGGAAAAAGGTGAATATCCATGACTTGCAAATGAAGTTAACAGAGTTAGTTGGATCAAGTAAGAAATTGGGGAATGATCCATAAATCAAAGGGGATTAAAGGTCCACTTGTAGAAAGGTCCTAAACTATTCTGTATATAAAAACAGGTAAATACCTTGCACACATCAAATGGATTTCCCATGAAAATCATTATCCTATTGCTGTCAGACTCTCAATTTTGTTTGCTTATGAATGTTTAATCTCTTGAAAAGGAGATGCTTTAAATGCTTCAAAATTGCAAAAAATTAAGCCATTCATTTGATTTTGTTCAACTTTTTTGGTTATCGCTTTGCTAACCCCAAAATGATACATTTGGAGGCATGTCTCAAACAAGTGTTGAGTGTTGAGCAAGAATAATGGACTGGAAGATCTAAGAAACTTTTTGTAATTTGTAAATTAATGCTATAACTGTAGTTCCAGTCTTGATTGAGCTACAAATCTGAAATAATCAACAAAGTTCTTTCTTCTTAGATGTTTTGCAAAATCTGTTACATTTTACTCTTAATGTAGAACAAATGTCAATTTGATGACCTATATCAAATGGCTGCTCTCTTGCTTGCTCCTTGACACTAGGATCTAACTACAAATATGCAAAATGCAAGTCATCTACTTTTATTTTTTATCCTTTCATAGGGCTATGCTCGGTAGTTTCTATGAGTTAATGCTATGTACTTTCAAAAATTGTACATATATCTTTCTGATAAATCTTCAGATTGATGTTCAAATAATATTGGAAACTTGTTAGGCTCAATTGTTCTTATAATTGCAACATTGTTTTCCCTGTAGGTTTTAAATTGATGTTATTTAGTTCCTGTTGTCAGATGTACATCAACTTGATGCTCTTTTTTGGTGATGTGGCATTGTGCAACCTCATTTTTGTGTAAGCAAAGTCAACGAAAAAAAGGTCTACATATCATAAAGAAGGATTGTTTTGTAAGAAATGACAGTGTACACCACTATCAAACTGGCAGGATACTTGATTTAACCAAGTAGATGAAAATGTATCAATTAAAACCTTCGACAAAAATCAAACTTGAGTAAAAGTAGAGGAATTTGGGTGTAATTAATGAAATTCCCAGCCTTGTGAGATGGTAATAACTGCATTCTCTAGTCTTATAAATTCTGGACTCTGGAAAATGGCAAAAAGCCGATAGTCTGGTATATCATTGAGACAAATAGTGTAGCGGGCAGAAAATCCATAACAGTTGAAATATATGATATATATCAATTGTATGTGTAAAAAGATTTAAGTTGTATGCAAAGAGAAATAAAATGCATAAAAGTTGGCATAATATTAATTCGAAATTTCAATTGGCTGGACACTCACCGGATATGACTAGAGGATACAACGCACAAGCCACAACCACGATACCCATATGGATGGAGACGCAATTGTGGATCAAAGGAATTCCACAATGCATTAGTGCTATAACAGCTATTTAACATCACTCACTTCTTTGATGTAATGCATTTTAAAGGCACTCCTATCTTCTATTACCATCTAGGTTATCACTGCAATCAGATAAAATGTACTAGTATATTGTGTTGCTGATTACATTAGGTGTGCATAAGTATTGCACTAGTAGCTTTTGAATCTGTAGTTATTCAATTACATTTATACACTATTTAGTATCCTATGGCTTTGTTGGCTTGGCAATACAATTAGTTGCTCAGATAACATCTGCACTAATAATTGGTAGGATGACATGAGAACAAGATAATACCCTTAGACGATATTCAAGTTTGTCTCCCAAGTTCCAACCATGAAGGAATGTAGGTCACTTAAAATTAGATGTCAATTTATCCTTCGTTACTTGATTTTGAATGTTGTTGGTTTGAATTTCAGTGATGCAGAATATCCACTGCCACCTCCCTTTATTTCATTGATATTTGATAAGCTAAAGCTCAGAATCCAATTGAATGTTCTTGCATTCTCATTTGCCATTTTTTTAATTGTAAGCTTCTGTGTCTTTCAAATGCATTTACCTAGTAAATGTATATTTACTCTGATTGACATAAAAAATACTAAACTTCTGCTACCATCATTTATTTATTTACTTGCTATATTCTTTCTCAAAGATGGCAGTAAGTGCAGCCTGTGACTTTATTGTCTTGTAGGTTGATCATCATCCCTTATATTTATACCCAAGGTGCCTTTTTGTTGTAAGAACTGATGGTAGCTGGATCGACTTCTCCTATCGGGTGTGCCTTGAGGAATACATTAAAAATAAGTACCAAATAAGTGCTGAAAGGTTTGTTAATAAAAGGTTTCTTAAAAATCTTATTAAGCATTGGGGTATTTGATATGTATGTATTAGAACATACAATTTGTGAAGTATATGATAGTTGATAACAATTGACCGGGTTATCTAGCTTATTTGTGAACGGAACAGAGAAATGAATTGAAGTCAACTTGCCTTTTGTTAAGTTGCGGAACACTTTGCTTTGTAGAAATTCATGAATAGGTAACTTGGAGATAGCAAGGAATGATGTTTTTGTTGATTAGTTGCCTTTAATATGGTGGAAAATTTATGATTATTCAGCCTTTTCTGACATCAATTTTTTTAAAGAAACGTGTTAATAACACGTTCTCTAACATTTTATTTATTTATTAATAGTTAAATTTTAAATTACCAAATCGAGTGATATACACAAAATTGTGATTTTCAATAAATTTTAACTAATAGTAAGTGTTAGATAATATGTTACTAGCATTTCTTTATTTTTTATTTTTAATGTTGCACCTCATTTTATTGAACTGATCAGATGTATGGAGGATATTTTCTAAAGATAGTGCTACCCACACTTTTGCGTGGTCATCATCTCACATTTGAATAGTTAGCACTTTTATTTTCTGCTGATGTACACTCTGATTCCGTCACATACTCCTATGAGACATGGGATGTGCAAGTAGAATATTTTGTGGAGTGTAAATAAATAGCATGAATTTATAAAATTTCTTGAAAATGAGTGGGAACTGGGAAGCCTACAATTGTTCTCATTTTTTGTGTCCAGCTATATTCACGGGTTATTTTAGGAGTGGTTGAGGACAGACAAATGGGAGTCAGAAGAGTCAAGCTCTACTGGGGTAAGTTGTGCAACTAGGTTTAGAGGTACATTGCACAAGTCAAAATTGAGGAGAATTTCTACTTGGCCTACTTTTTAAATGTTTAGTTGAATGTGTTTCTAAATCCAAGGACAGAGTTTACCTTTCTTTTTATTTATTGGTTTAATGATTAGTGATAAGTAACAATTAGCCGTCACTACATCATCACCATTATGGCAAGGTGCAGCAGATTAAACTTAAAGCCACTTTTTCCTATTCCTAATTTTAATCCTCCATTTCCTTTAGTTGGATTTGGTTTTTTAATCTACAGAATGTAGAAGTAGAAGTAGAAAACTGTCTTGTCTGAAAGAGAGGTTGATACTTTATTTCTTCCTTTTTTTTCTCTTTCGCATGGTCCAACTATTGGTTCTTCAGCTCACGGTAAGATTCAGAGATTGCATAACTAATTGTATTCTATTAGATTCATCAGAAATTTTAGCTTTAAACCCTAAATCCTAAACTCTAAATCCTAAACCCTAAATTATGCAAATCTACACACTGAGAAACATTTAATTGAAAATTGAATTTACACTCCCAAATTTAGAGGCAAGTGTTTTAGATGACTTTGACTTTCATTTTGTAGCTTTAGCGCGATCTTTTCTTTGTTTAAAGAAATGATTATGCAATATGCATAAGAAATTATCGGTTATGAAGTTAGGATGTCTAGTCTTACAAGTTACTATTACTCATGATTTTGGTAGGTAACAATAGAGAGTTGTGTTATTCCCGTTCATAGTATTGGATTTCCTTGATAAATGTTGTGCCCGCAAAGTTAATGATAAAAATATTTTTTGTTATTATTGAATGATACAAAATATTTTGTATTAAAAATATTATTTCATACTAATTCTTTATTATTATTATTATTATTATTATTATTCATTTGCTTTTAGAATTAGGTTTGAACGTAATTTAATTTTATAAAATGACTATTTTTCACTTATATATTCTATTTTAACTTTATAGCGAATGTAAAACTTAGGATTTTTCTTTTCTTTACCACTTAATAATGAAAACATTTCAAAATATATTGTTGGTCTAATTGTGAGAATCTAAGTACCTAAAGCTCGTGTAGAGTTCACTCACTGGCATATTGATTCCCCCACCCAAACATGAATATCAGTTCTTAATGCTTAATGTAGGTGTTGAACTGTATATAGAATGACTTTGTTTTATATATTTAAATTTTTATTTTGTAAATCATTAAATAACAATTAGAATTATATATTAAATCTTTTTTAAAACCGCAAATTTCTGTATCCATTTATGGTGTGTTTTTCAATATATATATATATATGTGTGTGTGTCAATGAGTCTTTTTTTTTTTTGTCAAATATAAAGACAATCTCCTTATGGAAATTGATAAATATCAAATAGATAGACATTTTTTCTTAGTTTAAGTTTTCTGTATTTACAAGAGTTGGGATTCAATTCTAGATCACTTGATTTAGTAATATGAGTCTTTTGCCACTCACAAGTTGGATTTTCAATCTTTTCAATAATCTTAAAATGATTGTCACTTAAAGTTTGTTTAACGCAATAAATAATTAAAATTTTAAATTAAAAGAATATAAATTAATTTGATTGAATTACTGGATTCATAAGGGAAAATACTTTTTATTCTTTTCATCTTAACTCTAGCTCTAAAATGGAAACATACTCTTTCTCTCTTTCTCTCTTTCCATTCAAGCACTCAATCCAACTGGATTAATTTTGTTTGTTACTCTCCTTTGATTCTCTTTTCTTGTTTTAAGAAATTCTAAACATAGGTGGGTGAAAAGCGGGTAAAAAAGAGTGACAGCAAAATTATAAGTTATGGTGTCATGTGTAATATGACCAAAATTTAGAAAGGTCAACCCGTGGCCATGATTAATTTTTACGGTAGGTTCTCTGTTATGTACTGTCATGTTATTTTATGATTACGGCAAAAACATTATGATTAATCTCTGACTATGTGTTGTGGGCCCTCATCTGAGCGGTCGTGGATCGGGCCCTACTGGAAGATGATCCACGTGGGCCATTATTCTACAACTCATTTTTATTGTGAGATTTCTTTTAGTACAGTTCGACTATGGTGAATTCTTCTTTAAGTTATGTTTGGTAGGAAAGAGAGTTAGAGGAGAAAAAAAAAGTGGGTAAGGAAAAGATAGAGGGAAATTTGGTTATTTGATAGAAGAAAAATAAATAAGAAATAAAATATATATAAAAAGAGAAGAGAGAAAGACGTGAAATTTATTATCTTTTAATTTTTTATTTCCTTATTTTTTATTAACTAAAATTTTTAACTTATTTTCATTATCTTATTTACATTCATTCTCCCTTAATTATTTATTTATTTTATTAATTTCATCTCAACCAAACAAAACTACCATCTTACAATTGCACCACTTCACCCTTTTATAAAAGTAGATAACATCTTTCATGACACACACTTATATCAATCATAAACATACATAAGATAAAAGGAATTTTAAAAAATATTTTTAAAAAAAATGAACAAGAGTCATTTTTCTATAATAATTCTACTACATTGGAACAAAATTACTTCCTAGATATGTCAAAAAAAGGTAAGAGTCACTTTTTAAAAAAAATAATTTAGATAAACATATAAAATAGAAATTAGGTTTTTTTATATTTAAAAGTATTTTTTTTAAAAAAATTAACTTAAAGAAATAGATACAATATTATTTAATAAGATGTTGAGTGATTTCTATCCAAAACATACTTATTTTATTTAAAAGTGTTTTTTTTTTCTATTCCATTCAATCTCATTATCCAAAACAAGGGGTTAAGTTAAGTGATTTAAATCATAAGTTTAATCTGATTAACACTGATCCAAAGAAAACTCATTTGATAGTATTATAGAAGAAAAGAATTATAGGAAAGGACACCTATACATAAAGAATTCACATTTAAGGTGAATGTAAAATAATTTCATAGGACCACTCTCATTGGTCATCTTTATAGTCTTTCTTTATCAAAAATAATTTAACAGCAACCAAAATTTAAGTTAGTTCTTCTTCTTCAAGACTTCAAGTATTACTCCTATTTTGGTCATCTTTACAGTCTTTTTTTACAAATTTGAGTACTATAGATTTTATTATTATTGTGCTTTGTGCACTTATTTTATCTTCAATTTGTTATTTACTTATTATTTATTATTATATTTTTAATTTTTCTTTATTTCTTAATTTTTCTATATTTTCTATTTTCTTTTTATGCATAAAAAATAATAGAATGTAATATAATTTAATAATAACTAATATTAGTTGACATAAGTGATAGTGACTTATGTTCTTTAATCAAATTATTTGGAGTTTAAATTTTGATTTTGAGTATGAAATAAACTATGTTAAAAAAAATATACCTATCTTACATTTTACATATGTTCATGATTTTCAACGAAAATTAATTACTTAAAATAATTATAAATTAACAGTGAGCTATCAAATTTTGAGTCTAATTATTTGCCTGTTTTCTTGCCGTACAGTTTTGTTAACATTTTTTTAGTGTTGTTAACTTGTTAATTGTTACTTTCTTCATTTTTTTTGTTTGACATTTAAGGTTTAAGCAGAAGAATCAAGAAATTGATTGATATTTTAATTTTTTAAAGTATTTATTACTTATTTTTCTATTATACCCTTTAAGTAGTTGGAGAGGAAATATGTATGTTGAAAATGAATAAATACATTGTTTAGTAAACACACATTGATTACTAAGGATAAAAATAAAAAAAATTAATAAGTCATTAATTTTAGAAAAGTGACAATGAAAAATAAAAATAAAAAATAATACCAAAATGATTATAAAAAAATGGAGGGAGTATATTGCAGTTTGGTAATTCAGCAAGAACAATGCGAAAGAATTATTATTGCATAACTAGTATAAAAAATATTATGTATTTTTATTTTTTAAAAATTAATAAAATTTAGTGATTAATAGTAAGAAAATTCGAACAATTCTTTAGTAGTTAAAAAAATAAAATATAATATAGAAATTATAAAAAAAAATATAATTATCTAAAAATTGTTTATATCAAAAGAAATTATTTCTTTTATGATTAACTTAAAAAATGAGACACTTTATGATTTTTTTTAAAAAAAATAAAAAAAATGATAAAATAAAAAAAAATGTGTCGTTAATTTTATTATAGTAGATAATTAGGTGTATTAATAGTGAGTAAAAGAGTTTAAAAATATGAATGTCAATACAGTACACCAAATTATTATTATTAATTGTTATAAATATACACATAGATATCATTCAAATTTTTTTCCTTTCTATTTCACTTTTTTTCTTTTACTTTTACAATGTACTTGGGATACAGAATATTTTTGCTTGTCCAGAAATCTAACATAAGTAACATTGTGATTTTAAAGATTTATTTATTAATTAT